TTCCAGTTGCATGATGCCACCATGGAGATGTAAGAGTCTTCCAGTTGCATGATGCCACCATGGAGATGTCCTAAGACTCTTCCAGTTGCATGATGCCACCATGGAGATGTCCTAAGACTCTTCCAGTTGCATGATGCCACCATGGAGATGTCCTAAGACTCTTCCAGTTGCATGATGCCACCATGGAGATGTCCCAAGACACGTTAGAGGTGCCAGGAGATGAGACCAAGCTCTTGAGGTCCTACCAAAGGTTCCTCCAAGGGTAACCAAGCTTAGGAGACCCCCCCAAAGTCAACGGGAGGTCTCCAACCCACCTGTCTCCCCACAGCTCACGTGACGTTGGACGCGGACACGGCTCACCCTCAACTCATCCTCTCGGCTTGTGGGAAGAAGGTCCAACGTGGAGACACGAAGCAGGAGATGCCGGAGAACCCGGAGAGATACGACACCTACCACTGCGTCCTGGGTCAGGAGAGGTTCACCTCGGGGAGACACTTCTGGGAGGTGGACGTGGGGATGGAAGAAGGAGGAGTTTGGGCCATGGGGGTGGCCAAGGAGTCCATGAAGAGGAAGGGTTGGATCAACCCAACTCCTCAAGATGGCATCTTGGCTCTTTTCCATTGTGGGGGCAAGTTCTGGGCTCTGACTTCTCCTGACCACACGGCTCTTGACCCCACCCAGACACCCAGGACCTTGAGGGTCTACCTGGACTTTGAGGGACAGAAGGTGGCCTTCTTCAACGTTGACAACCAAGAGTTACTCTTCACCTTCTCTCTGAACCCGTTGAGTGGTGAGAAGATCCGTCCTTGGTTCCGGGTGGGACCCATCGCCCGGCTCAGCCTAAAGTCACCCCCGTCACCTCCACGTGTCCCCAGCGTGGAGGAGCTTCTGCTCCCCTCATGCTTCAACCTCTCCATGATGGGACAACGGGTCCCACCAAAGGGCGGGAGGTGACCGGGAAGGACGGGGAGATCCACGCTGCCCACCACGAGCAGAGCCCAAGACTCTTCCAGTTGGGTTGTGTCACC